GTACTCCAGCACTAGGGGGCTCGGAAGCCGCATTGCTGCACGCTTTGCGCACGGCAGCACCCAGATCCATATATAAATATATATATATATATATTCAAACGGAAAACCCTGAACCCCAACCTCAAACCTCACAGTCACATAGAGCCGCCCAATCTTATTAAGACGCCTGGCCCGAAAGCTCAAAACTGCGACAGCCTAAAACCTAAAGCCTAGGCCTACACCGAATATACCCGAGTTCTCCTAGCCGATAACTGAATCTGAAGAAATCAGAAAGCATCAACACGACATGTCTTCGAGAGCCAAGAAGCCTCGTCACAGTCACAAGAACTGCTCGGTCAGCCAGGCAAGCACTCGGACAGGATCAGTTTCTAATGCATCTGCAGGAATGCAAACTAATGAATCTGTGGGGGGACTCTTTTCATTTGAAACAGCATCATATTCCATCAGTTGTCTCGCTGGCTAAGCCCGTTCCCTTTGGCTGTGGTTTCGCTTGAAAACTACTTGCCTTTCACATCAGCATCTTTCTTCACCAGGCCCTTCTCTTGCAAAAAGCGTACAACTCTGCGGAGACGACGGGCGAGCTTTCGTGCTGACTTCCATGCCTTATATACAAACTTGAAACCACGATAGCACACACTTAAATGCTTCTGACGCTATCTTCCTGCGACCTGGAGACGGATCCTTCCAGTACCGGAATGGCCTTGATTAACCTTCGAATTGAAATTTTCCCAGCTGCGACCATCTTCACGGCATCGCTGCTGCTGAACTCACGGGGCTTTCCGTCATCATTGCTGGAGTCGGTTCCACAGCAACTAGTATGTTTTCCCATCGCAGCCGCTTCCTTCGGCTTGATCTAAAAAGCTGCACCAGCATCAGGAAAAAGTTTCTGACTACAGAAAACTGAATGATGTTCAGAAGCAGCAAACACAGACTGGGAGACTCTCGGTAGGGTGGGCATGATTTAAGGTTTAAGGCTTTTTTCTACTCCGCACCCAAGCGAGCAACATAGAGCATCACCAATAAAGAAGACAGCATCATGTCATTATATTTTTTTGAGCCAAACTGTACAGAGGGGAACGAGTTTAAGGTTTTTTTTCCTCGGCGGCGTTTTGAGCCAGATTCTATACAAACAGTCCGTCAGCATGACGTCTTTCGGTTACGAGCTATCAATCATGACTTGTTCGGGCTTCTTCATCCTTGATCCATCTTGGACCGTTGCTCGGTTCTGAGCTATCAATCATGGCTTGTTCCGGTTTCTTCCTGGATCCATCTTGGACCGTTGCTCGGTTATGAGCTATCAATCATGACTTGTTCCGGTTTCTTCCTTGATCCATCTTGGACCGTTGCTCGGTTCTGAGCTATCAATCATGACTTGTTCCGGTTTCTTCCTTGATCCATCTTGGACCGTTGCTCGGTTACGAGCTATCATTTATGATTTGTTCCGGTTTCTTCCTTGATCCATCTTGGACCGTTGCTCGGTTCTGAGCTATCAATCATGACTTGTTCCGGTTTCTTCCTTGATCCATCTTGGACCGTTGCTCGGTTATGAGCTATCATTCATGATTTGTTCCGGTTTCTTCCTTGATCCATCTTGGACCGTTGCTCGGTTCTGAGCTATCAATCATGACTTGTTCCGGTTTCTTCCTTGATCCATCTTGGACCGTTGCTCGGTTCTGAGCTATCATTCATGATTTGTTCCGGTTTCTTCCTTGATCCATCTTGGACCGTTGCTCGGCTATGAGCTATCAATCATGACTTGTTCCACAGGACCAGACCCAAAAGCCAGAGGACCAGAACCAAGCAATTGGACATCTTGTGTCAAAAGGCATGTGATTGTGCCAACAAGCGTGGGACGTGAGGGCTACGTGCACGCTAGCTGAAACCCCCTAGTTTGGTTTGTCTGTGACCAGCACGCCATGCCAACACCATGTCAGCTCATGCCGAGCTTTGCTATCGTGAACTGAACTTGGCTCTGAAGCGCGGGCAGCTGGAGAGACACCACGCTAGAAGGCGGGTCTGTTGACATCTGTTGACAACGGTGGGCAGCCATGCGCCAGCAACAGTACGTTGCTTGGCAAGTTTTCATACACTGCTGGCAAGAAGATGTGCTCTTCTCCTGACTTTGCTTCGCTCTGGGATCAGCAGTGGCAGCGTATCATCTGCGTCTCCTGGCCAGGTTGTCGCTCTTGGACCTCCGAACAGGCGCAGCCTCGGTGTCTTCGTGTCTTGCTGTTCTGGGGCGCTTGCGCCCAGAAGCCGAGGCCAGCTGTTCAGCGTCACCCGCACGGTCCGCACGGGCCTCCGCAGTGTCACGCTGAGTCGGGAGGCTGTGAGTGTCAGTATTTTATGGCGCAGCCCCGGTGTCTTCGTGTCTTGCTGTTCTGGGGCGCTTGCGCCCAGAAGCCGAGGCCAGCTGTTCAGCGTCACCCGCACGGTCCGCACGGGCCTCCGCAGTGTCACGCTGAGTCGGGAGGCTGTGAGTGTCAGTATTTTATGGCGCAGCCCCGGTGTCTTCGTGTCTTGCTGTTCTGGGGCGCTTGCGCCCAGAAGCCGAGGCCAGCTGTTCAGCGTCACCCGCACGGTCCGCACGGGCCTCCGCAGTGTCACGCTGAGTCGGGAGGCTGTGAGTGTCAGTATTTTATGGCGCAGCCCCGGTGTCTTCGTGTCTTGCTGTTCTGGGGCGCTTGCGCCCAGAAGCCGAGGCCAGCTGTTCAGCGTCACCCGCACGGTCCGCACGGGCCTCCGCAGTGTCACGCTGAGTCGGGAGGCTGTGAGTGTCAGTATTTTATGGCGCAGCCCCGGTGTCTTCGTGTCTTGCTGTTCTGGGGCGCTTGCGCCCAGAAGCCGAGGCCAGCTGTTCAGCGTCACCCGCACGGTCCGCACGGGCCTCCGCAGTGTCAAGCTGAGTCCGGAGGCTGCGAGTGTCAGTATTTTATACCGCCACGGGTTCCACTCGGGCTAGACATCCTCTGAAGGCTTCTCCACAGGGCTTTACAGGAAAGACGTCCGGCGGGAATCGCTATTCCAGCAGGTTGAGAGGCAGGTTTGGATTCGACCAAGTGTTGCCAAGTCTTGTTCTCAGAACATCATGTCCTTTACGATTGCCCAGCCGTGAAGTCAGACGAGCAGAAAAGCCGACTCATGCCTGGCACCCCGGCCATCATTGGGAGCTACAACAAATGAACTTGGCCAACCGACCCGACAAGCTGTGGGAGTCGAAACTTTCGAGGACATCTTGACTAGCAGAATCCTCACCGTTTCGCCAAATTTCTAGAGTCGGATTCCCTCGAGCATGGAGCGTCACCTTCGCGCCCGATATTCGCTCTTCGGAGATGGTGTTGCGTAAACCAATGGTATCCAATGGTGCCAGCAAAACGGAGTGTCAAAACGCACATCCTGGGCGTAATCATGCGTGACGGACTTGCGCCCCTTCGGCATCTGGTCAAGGACATGTCCACTAAAAGCTCATGCGACCAGGCCCGAAACCTGCCAACCCAGCCTGCCGTTGGAGGGAAAAACTGGCGTGCTCGAATGCCGAGGTCGTTTCCTCGGCCAGTCGTCTGAAGCTCAAGTGTTGCTTCAGTCTGGGGCTCTCGTGTCTCCGGTATTACGGCCTCGGGACCCTAATTTTGACAACCACCCATGTGATGTGCTACTGCGTCCAGAGGCCGGGATGCCGCAAATGCACACAGCCGGAAGCGTTCGCACTGCTTCTTGCTTGTTTTGTGAACTGTAGTATGTGGGCATTATTATTGTTATTATAATATATTTGTAGGCTAGAACTTGTGCAGGAGGATTCAAGCGGTGCATCATCGGCTAAATCAGAAATGCCGAGAGCAGGTCCTGATGCCGGGTCGCCAGCTGCAGGCTGCCAGTCCAGAAGCCAAGTGAAGTTTCTTGTTATGATGCACGCATGAACCTGCTCGCTACCTTTGCTTCGTGGCTTGACTGGGATCACCTTGCCAAGGAGCTGACGATGTCTTACGTTCTAAGCCCTATGACAACTCAGCTGTCCGCTGCTAGCAGTGGCTGACTAGCAGTTACTAGCCGCCATGGTGCGCCGACTCCGACTGCTAGTCTTGCGGCATGGCCAGAGGAGACGCGGGCTTTAGAACGTTCAGCAGCCTTGTATTTTGTAAGGCTTTTCAGGCCAATCTGCGGTCAACCTCGGCTTGGAGTTTCAGGTTGCATCAGAAGTCAGCAGGACTCGAAGGAGAACGATTCCAGAAGGGTTGCCCGAAATGCCACACGTGGGGATTCGGGACACGCACTAGTGAGGCTGTGCGAATTGTTGAAAGATGTTGAAAGTTGAAAGTGACCTACAAAAAGGAGGAGTCGATGGGAAGGTTTTCGCCGCTGAAGGTGCATATGAACTCCGTCCTTGAGGGTCCTTGTGAAGAGCCATCAGAATCTGCGACAGTCGAAGTGGTAACGGGCCCAGCGTGCCAAGATCCGAAGCTAGTGACCAGCAAGTAGCTGATGCCGCACACAGTTGGTACGAGTTGTGAGAGGTTCTGGCAGGGCTCGTTTCGATCGTTTGCTTTCCTTGGTGCTTCAAGCCCATACATAGTTGTTGCTTGCTTTGATCACCCCGCATAGATTGTCGAACTTCGTTGCCATGTTAGGAAAGCAGATTCACGTCGACTGGGGCTTCAGTGAAGTACTTGCACCAATGGCTGCACCTGTGCTGAAGCCATTTTGGAGCGTGCTCATTCTGTTTCAGAGTACATCTCGCGAATCTACTTCGTGGTGAAATTCTGTGCCAAAAGCTAGCACGGGCTACAGCCAAAGCAGTCTGCAGCCGTTGCACATCATTCTCAGCTCGACTGTGGTGCAGGTCGCTGTGATCCATTCTGTTGAGCTGTGCATGTAAGCTCAACTCTGTGCGGGTGCACCTTGTTAGGCGAGTGTTGTGCTACCTGTTGTACTCGTGTACGCAGTTGACTGTTGGGAAGGCTTACATGCTCGCCACCTAAGCTTTGTCCAACCGGCTGCTTGAGGTATCACGCCAACCCGCTGCCGCAGCTTCACTTTGGCAACTTTCAGATCCTTGGTCTGTGAGTGTTTCCAACGAGAACGGGCATCGCTGGCAGCAGGCAAAGATAGCTTTCGATTGCTTGGCAGAGCAATGACAGGCGTGTTGCTTGTTGCCGGGAAGACTGGAGAAGAGTTGCCCAATGTTGCTGGAGATCTCATCGACATCGGATACGAGTCTCCGATTCGTGGATATCCTGACTTCGTAGGCCCAGCTCGGGCAGGCTCGGACAATCCGACAACAGTGGCAGCACCCATCAGCTTTCAGCAAGTGACTGTACCGGGTTTCTAGGTTTTTCTGCAGTCAGGAAGATGGAGGCTGCATCGATGCTCCGGCCCGTCAACTGCAGGTGATGCAGTGCAGCGCGCGCGGCCGATAGCGCGTGCCCGAGAGGCCTGGCAACTTCGGACTCCAAACTGGCGGCGCCAGCTTTCCAAATGTTTGGTCACAGGCGCTTTCTCGGGCCATGCGCACAGAGCCGGTTCCAAGGACCGGCGTGTGTCACTGACAGACACAGACCACATATGGCATGTAGCTTAGCAAATGGCTGCTTCTGTCAGCCAAACGCAGGACGCTGCTGGTCGTAGGGGCGCGGTGCCCTATGTGATTGAGGCATTGCCTTGGAGCGGACGAGAACTTTCTGTTCAACTACACTTGCCACTTGCTTTGAAGGGATGCATTGGCAAAGCAGACTCTTTTTGATTCAGGCACTCGCACCAGGTTCGCTTCCGTTGGAGCACCAGGCAGCCAAGGGTTTGTGCATGGACAGCTCACTACTTATACAGGGGCCCCTCCAGCATCACTACATTGAGTAGCTGGGAGGTCCCTTTCTGCGTGGAGAACGTTTCCTTCACAACAGCGCTTCGTCACGAGGATGGCAGGCCGCATGTCGATGCTGAGAGGTGCCTTGAGCCGTAGCACGTGGGATGTGAACTGGTCCATGAATGGCAGAGCACGAGTCACCAGCGACGCTGCATGAATTCCTTCCGACTCTGCCGAATCAACCCGAAGGTTCTGCCTGTACGGCTTCAACGAGCTGATTCCACGTTTGCTGGCAGAGGGCTGGCAGCACACATTCCAGCCCATTTCAAGGCCGTCTGAGCTACAATTCTGCAGCCACACCTTTCGAGTGCATGCCATTGACGGGTGTCGGGACGACACCTCAGAGCTGCGAGCGGAGGGTGAGGCTTACAGAACATAAGGCTTCGCGCTGGGAAAGACGAGGCATGCCGCAGGGGTCTCCGAGTCCTGGCTGTCAGGTGGCGAAGCACTGCGTAGGATAAGTAGAGGGTCTTCGGGCCTACAGCAGGAGACAACACGACCAGCGGCATCCCCTTGTGTCCCGATTCGTAGAGTCCGTACGGACGTGACTGGTCAAGGTCCAAGACCGGACAGTCGGTATGGCAAAAAGAGCAAGGAAGCAAAGAGAGAGAGAGAGAGAGAGTGTGTGTGTGTGTGTGTGTGTGCGTGCGCTTCGCACGGAGGGCAGGGCCTGGAGGCTGCCCCAAACCCCAAGCCCAGTAGAGAGAGAGAGAGAGAGCGCAGGGGTGCGGGTTCTGCTCGTACCCTACACGCCGTGCAAGCAAGCAAGCAAGCAAGAGAGAGAGAGAGAGGCGAAAGACAGAAAGAGAGATGCCTTGCAGCAGAAAGATGAAGAAGAGGAAGCAGAAGAGAGTGAGAGTTGCCAAACGACTGCGGTCTGGGGTGGGTTTGTGCGTATGTTTAACGTTCGGGGTCGGGGGCTACAACTCGGGAGCTTTGAGCCTAGCAGGTCGTTCAAGGCCAGAGTCTGGAGTACACCTAAAGCCGACCGCTGAATAAACAATGTGGTGGTTGCATGGGCGGGCCAAGCGCCTGCGGGTCGCACGCGACCCTGAGCCCGGCAGAAGAGATAGAGAGAGAGAGAGAGAGAGCAGTTCGCCTAACGGTACCTGTAAGTCACCGTCTGCCCTGACAAAACAGGACTTTCTCTCCATAAGCTTTTTAACGGTGCCGGCAAGTCCCTGCCAACCCATAGGGAACCGGACCTTTCCAACAGCAGGGAGAAATGCTCCAACCCGAGCACCTGTGCTTCACTCCTTCGGGGGAACTTGCGGTTGTTGTGTTCGAGGCCTACAGGTTGTTGCTTAAGGTACAAAGGGGCCATGCCGATCCTTGAACTTGTTGTTTACGAAAGCCGAGCCAGCCCTGCAGAACATGCCTTACGTGTTGTATGGTGTCTCGAGAGCGTCGTTATTTGTGATTGAATGCGGGGCAAGGCCGGCCCTCGACCTAGGAGTGTGGCTGCAGGGACATAGAGGGTAATATGGTTAGGTGTGAATCTTGGTGCCAGAAGCCCGCTCCAGTAGCCGAGAGCCTCCGCCTGCTACACACGACGTGCGCCTCGAAACTAGCCAGAATGTTAAGTTAGGGTTTGTGTGGTTAAAGGAGCGAGCGAGGCCGTAGGGGCACGGAGTGGAAAACCCGCAGAGTGCCAGGAGCAGCAACCGGGGCGAGCAACAGTCATTCACAGGTCATTGGCACCACAAGTCATGGTTTGTAGTTTGTAGTTACCTAGTACACTCAGCGCGTGGAGAGCCTCAGCCAGCTTTTGCACGTAACACTGTCCTTGCCGCCAACAGACGGGCAGCTCCCGCGGGGGCTCGCCCTCAAGCCTGAGGAAAGAAAGAGAGAGAGAGCGAAAGCAAGCAAGCAAGCAAGCAAGCAAGAGAGAGCGAACAAACTACTGGCGTGGACACCCAAAACCCGCTTGTCAGGCCAGCTAGACCCGCTGACACGTGGACCGTCGACGAAATCATGTGGCGCTGTCAAACTCGATCCTCGGCAGTGGGCAACCACCAGCCACCGAGCCGTTAATTAGTTTCCGGCTACGTCATAATGTGAATCAAGGGTGAGTAAAAGGTAAATACACTGCAAAATCCGCTTGAGCAGATGTCAGTACATGACCATCGGAGTGGCAGTGACTTACCCCAACTTGGGTACTGAACCGAGGGCAAGGCGCTGTCCAGGTGCTATCACCGCATGCCCTCTTCGTGCCGGAGCTTCAGCAAGTGTTTCTCCTCGACAGCCTTTCCGGACGAGTCCGAACTTGTGACTCTCGAGGTGTTCAGCTGGAGGCAGAACCAAGATCCTAAAAACACGTGCGATACGCTCCCAATAATTACAGGGTTTACTGTGTACATACTTACGGCTTACGGCTGTTGTATTGTATTAGGTCTGTCAGCCAATTCCGGCCGCCTCGACGCCGAACAAAGAAGCCAATGTTGCGCCACACAGCGGTGTATGCGGTGGTTCTGCCAAAGAGCAGGGCCAGGAGGGACATGCCGCTCCTCAGAGTCGAAAACCTGCAAAAGATGCGCACTCAGTGTTCCGGTTACTGGACAAGCCTCTGCGGGGCAAGAGGGGGTTTTCCATGGTTGTGTGGCGTGCAGGCATCCCAAGTGCCTCCTGGGGAAGAGCTTCGTCCTGCGCAGGCTGTGCTGTTGGCATCAACACAATGCACAACACTTTCAGCTTGACTTTGCGAAGTGCCTCGGGGCACGACATGAAGCGACATAATGACATAGTAGTGGCATAGTGTCAAGTGCGTCCATCCAGTCTGGCATCCCGCCGCCATTGCCGGCTGCCTGGAAAGCAGTAGCCTTGGTGGGAGCCGAAACCCTCAATGCAAGTTGCAGCAGAACGGTTGCAGATGTGCGAGCCACGAGCCCTTTCCTTTCATTGCTGAGGCCGAGTACGAGCTCTGCCTTTGCCCAAGTTTCTTCCACGCATCGGAACAAACAGCGGGAGGTCAGCATCGCCAAACTTCGCAGGGCCGGGGGATCATCAGCTCGGACGAGGAGCTGTTGCAGAGGCCAACGAAGCTCTCTGGGAGAGAAAAACAGATTGGGATGCAGACAGGTGTTCCGCGTCCGTCATCGCACCAGCCATACAGGCTACGCAGTGAAGGCGCACTTGTTAGGCCCGCTAGCTAAGCTGCGCAGCGGTTGCAGAGATTTCAGGTCATGAGCAGATCGAACTTCGCAAACCGTGGCATTGTGTCCGGCACCCAGGACTTTTAAAGTGAGACTCAGAAGTGAGACGGACATCGCAAGGTGTCAAATCGATTGGGAGATTCAAGCCATGCGTGCCGCGACCGTCTACAGAGACCAGCTTGAGGTCCGAAGCTGCCCATGCACCCATGATCGCCCGTGCATTGCCATGCATGTGCCTTTGCGAACGCGACGCGACCGGCTGCAGGAGACGCACGTCTTGCGACTGCTGGACGACACTCAAGACGGCGACTTTGCCCGGCGCAAAGCTGACACCTTCAAAGCCGAGGCTTTCCGTCATTGCTATGAGATCCCAAGGTGTACCTATTGCTAGAGCTTTGTGAGCCAGGCTCTGCAATGCTCCGCAGTTCCCGCTCTGCCCCCTGAACCGAGACTGATGCAGCTCTGCAGGAGATCTGCTCCACATGCAAGGTGTTCTGAACGAAGAGAAGCTGAGGAGCATGGCCTGGAAGCTCAGGGATGCTTCGTGCAGACTGGCACCTGTCCAGTCTCTGCCTCTATGCGCTGTCAGGCGAGACAACTCATGCTTGGCTTGAAGGTGGTGCACAAGCGAGACCCCTACTGCCCTAGAGTGCCCACAGCCCTGGCGACATGCGATGCGCTTTGCACCATCCTTTGCTGCCGAGGCTCGGCTTCATCCACCGAGACATCAAACCTGCCAACCTGCTATGCGCAGCAGATGGTCTGTGGCACGCTCAGCTGCCCGATCGTCTGAGACTCTCGAAGGGCTTGGCATTGGGAGCAATGTGTGTGTGTCGAGGTTGCGCATTGCAGATTTTGGTTGGTGCTGCCACAAGGAGGATAGCCCGACATGCCTTGCACCATCCTCAGCGATGATTCTGCCTTTCTGATTTGCAGGCTTAGGCTAAGAGCTGAGTTGGCGGCTGCTGTAGCAACAGTGATGTACAAATTCGACGCGACATGTAGCAAATCGGGTGCAGGCGGGCACCCTGCTCTACATGGCCCCTGAAGTGCTGTCCAACGCAAGTGCCTTATCATGCTGCACAGCGAGGGTTTGCGTACAGTATTGATGTGGACGTGCTCGAGCAACAACCTTATTTGCTGGCAAATGCTTAGAGGTGCCACAGACGGCCTGGACCCCAGAATTCCTCGGCATGCACTCGTGCACGATCGCGAGAACTTGTGAGCGATTCTTCTCTCGAAAAGTGCTTTTCAGGTGAAGGCGGATGTGTGGAGCGCTGGAATGACACTTTTCCAGATGATCGCCGGGTCAAGCTCTGAGCTGTCCGAGTTGGCAGACGCACGTACGTTCTGTGTCGGTCACTGCTGCTGTCAGACTTCTCAGTCCACGAGAGAGCGAGACAGAGAGCAAGTCACAACACTGGTCGCCATCTCAGACAACAAAACGCTTTCCTAGGGCTAAAAGCTGCGGCCATTGGAACCCGTGGGAGTCTGAAAGAACTACTCCTGTGAGATCTGTGTGAGCAAGAGCGTGAGCGGCAGTGTGAGCGTGAGTGTGAGAGAAAGTGTGAGGTTGATGAACGTGAGCGGAAGTTTGAGGTTGAGTGTGAGCGGAAGTGTGAGGCCGAGAAGAGTCAGAGCTTGGCTGTGTGGAAAAAGAGTCAGGGCTGGGAGGGAAGGTAACAGGCCAAGCGAAGAACTACCGGTCATGTTCTCATTGGACGTGAGACAAGTTCAACGTTCGGGGGTATGGAGTTTGGGGCGGGCCCGACTCCCTTGCATCCGAACCCCGAACTCCGACTCACACTCTCGCACAGTCCCGCTCCGTCAATTCTGGGATCCCGCTCACACTCCTGCTCAATGTTCTGGCAGGCCTGGAACGTAAACGGAAGTGTGAGCGTTAGCGGGAGTGTGAGTAGGAGGGTGAGCGGGACCGACCCCTCAAACCGCCCACCCCACCCCACCCACCCCCCACCCCTGCCAGCCGCAGCCCCGGCCCCAGGGAGCGGTATAGCGATGGTTCTTCATGGGCACACTCTCGCGCGCACTTCTGCTCACACTATTGCCAACCAACCTCAGGAGAACACTGCTCCAAACCAACCTCGACCCTGGCATGCCCGAAGCTCAAAGCATTTGCAGCGGCACACCCGTGCAGGAGTTCACATGTTGGTTCATCCGGTCTGTGCCCATGTTAGGACCAAGCTTTCAGAGCGAGACCCAGTGAAGTCAACATTGCTTCGCCAGCAGTGGCTGCTGCGGGCCGTGCGCTCGGCTTCGGTTCTTGTCTGGACTGTACGGAGCGGCACTCCTGGGACCAGGAGATTGATGCGGTGTGCGGGGTTCTTGGATCTTGTCCGCAGAACCCAGTGCTGAACACCACAAGCCCTGGCAATGTGAGGCCCACCATCGGACAAACTTCGGCCGAACCATGTCAGCCAGATGCCAGGAAGCAGCAGGAACTGGGCACTTGCATCTGTCTGCATCGTGTTGAGGCCCATCCGCATGGGACCTGGTGCAGAAAATGTTGAAGACAGATCCAGCAGAGCGTGCGCAGCTTCTGATCTTGTATGATCTTGTTATGCCAAGTTTGGCCTCTGAGAGTGCTGTTTTCGCAGATTGGCAGAGGTATTTCGGTGGACGAGGCGCTCTCACACCCGTGGCTGCGAGAGCTAACAGAGGCAGCCGGTTCGTTTGATCTTGCGCACTCTGGCCGGGGCTCATGGGTGAAGTATGATACTGGTAGGGGGGGCCTTGTAGTTTTGGGTTTGGGCGAAGTATGAGAGAGGGGGTCGGGTGAAGTATACAGTCCTCCAGATCACTGGGGTTGGGTGAGTTGGGAAAATCATGTGGGGATGATGGTATTTCATATGAGTATCTCACAGTCCTCCTCAATTCAGATCTTGCCCAACATGTCGCTGATCTTTTTAATTCCATTTTGTTTGGTACCGCACCCCTCCCCGATTTTTGGCTTGTCTCCAGGCTTCCCCTTATCCCTAAGATTCCACTCCCGTCTGAACCCAAACACCTCCGCCCAATCGTTCTCAGTTCCACCCCAGGCAAAGTGTTCACAAAAATTCTACTTTTCCGCCTCCGCCCGTCTTTTCCCCCCCTACTGCCCATCAATTAGCGTGCATACCGGGTTGTCAAACACTAGACGGCTCGGCTTGTCTACAACACATCATCCATCTCAGCCAGGAATACTCCCTCCCTCTTATTGCAATAAAATTAGATGTCGCGTCCGCGTTTGACCACTTATCCCACTCTGCCATTGCCTCCTTCTTATCCACTTGTGGGCCCCACCTCGAGTCACATGTCCTCCTTCAGATTATTCTACTTTCTCGAGTCCTAATTAGCATTTCAGACACCTCGTGGGAACAGCGCCTGCATAGAGGGATTGTTCATGGCTCCTCCTACATTGCCGAAATGTTTGCTCGTACCATTGATCTTTACCTTGGTTACCTGAATTCGACATGGTCAGATTCGGAATCCACATGGATCCGCTCTACCGACCCCAATGGTATTCATCGTTGTCTTTTCAACCTTCTCTTTGCTGACGACATTATCCTTTTAGCCACATCCTATTCCCAGGCAGCCAGGATGTTGGATCAGTTTAGAGACGCCTTATCAGCTATAGGACTTTCATGGGCTTTGGATAAATGTCAGTTTATTGCCTCCCCGTGTCTGGGCTTGCACCCGCTCGTCGTGCGCGACATAGTCGTTAAACATGTCGCCTCTTTTAAATTTTTGGGAGTCCTTATGGGTTTCGGCATTTCGTGTCAGGCGGTACTAGGAGCCAGGCTTGCGGTCACGCACAACTCGTTTTGGGGATTCTTTAAAATTTTGAAACGCCCTTCCAGTCCCACTAAAACCCGTCTCCATCTCCTCAATACATTTATCACATCACAATGGCGCTGGATGTCCCCCTGCTTTCGACCAACCACCAACATCGGCAACATGAAAATTATGCAAACCACCCTTTTAACCTCCCTTTGTGGACTAGCTGCCGATCCCTTTGTCACCCAAAAATCTAATTGGATCACACGCAGACGCGCGAGTAAAATGGTAGCATTGCAATTGGGAAGCATGCGCCGGGCATGCGACAGTGGCATGCTTGCTTGACAGCACATACGCGTTTTTTGACCAACCATGCGAGCATCATGCTTGCAAATGGGGGAGGCTGCGATCCGAATTCCCCAAGAGCTTGACGCAGGAACAAGCCGCGAACACCGGAATCCCCCAATAACTTGGCGCACAAGCAAACCCTGAAAAAACTACACTCCCCCTACAGCTTGATGCACAAAGAAACCCTGAAAACTAGAATCCCCCCAATAGCTTGACGCACAAACGAGACACTAAGTCCCATCATACCCCCTAGTACTCACACCTGAACACCCAAACCCTATAATTCCCCTACAACGTCCCCATGCCCTAAACCCATAAACCCTAAAACCCATAAACCCTAAACCCCTAAACCCCTAAACCCTAAACCCATAACCCCAAACCCATAAACCCCAAACCCATAACCCCAAACCCGTACACCCTAAACCCATAAACCCTAAACCCATAAACCCTGAACCCATGAACCTACCGGCCGAACCTCCAAACCTTAGCCCGAAGGTCTCGGATGACGAGCTTTCTGAAACCAGTCCTAGCGACCTGATTTTGCGGTCGGTGTTGAAGGAGGCCAGGCCCCTCGGATGGGTCTACAGGGTTTAGGGTCTAAGGGTTTAGGGTTTAGGGCTTAGGGGCTATAGGGTCTACGATCTACAAGGCTTGGGGTCTCTAGGGTTTAGGGTCTAATTATAGGGTTTAGGGTTTAGGTTCCAGGGGTTAGGTTTTAGGGTCTACAGGGCCTAGGGTCTAGCGGTTAGGGGTTAGGGTTTAGGGTTTATGGGTTAGGGGTTAGGGTTTAAGGGTTATGGGTTTAGGATTTAGGGTTTAGGGTTTAGGGGTTTAGGGGATTAGAGCCGCTATGTCATTTTGTTGCTGATGAAGCCACTTTCATAGTACGAGGCAAGCCGACAAATTGAGTAACCTCTTCCTCCCCCTGGTTTTCTCTTTCATTAAGTATGTTCTTCATGCCGCGTTGCCCTGCTGCCCTATGTAGAACTAAGGGGTGTCTCCATAGGGGAGTTTCCGAACATCGGGGTTGCCCTATGTTGGGGTCCTGATAATAAGGACTCTGCTATTTAGGGTGTTAAATAGGGGGCCCCTATGTTCGGAAACCCGCATATGTAAAAAGTTGGATTAAGATCCAGGAACACAAGCATTCGAGCATGCAAGTATGCCTGCATCAACGTGAGCTGCGAGCTTTAGCTCAGGCTGCGTGGGCACATCGCAGATAAGATAAGTTACACTGCAGATGTAGCCATCTTGCAGCCATGATATAGAAAGTAGCTTCGACCACATCTACATACAGGCCGAGACCCCGGAAAAGAGCCGGCCCCGAAACGAGGACGAAGAGGAGGTGCGCTGCTGTCCTGCATGACGTCTTACAGGGTACATGTTGGATACGGCCGGGTCGTAGTGTTTTGTTCAAGCCTGAAATGGTCAATGGTTCAACAAATGTAAGGTTGCTTGCTAACGAGTCTGCAACGAAAAACGCAAAGCACCAAGCGATCAAACGTTGCCCTGCGTTCCCATAGGTGAGAAACTTCCTGCCCCAAGCAAGGAAGGTATTGCTATCGCAGCCTTCGGCACTTTCGAATTTTGCAACCACACTTTTTGCAGGTGTTAGTGAGTTACGGATGTTTACGTCCAATTTGATTGCAGACTTGTTTCTCAAAGAGGTTGTCCCACATTTTGGAGGTACGGTGGTTTACCGTTTGTGGTCGCCCTTGTGATCTTGACGGTGTAAGTTTAAGGATATCGTGGATGAGTCGAGAGAAGTGATGAATTTAGCAGGGCTCGGCAGCTTGTTTGCATTCACCCTAGCATTCAGTGCTTCATAGCATGAAGCTTAACAGTATGATACAAGTGCAGAATGCAAAGCAGTACACAGGCGAAGTGACGGCATGCCACACCAGGTCGACAGCGACGGCGGTCATCCTCCACTATCACCCGTTTGGCCGCCCAGATTCAGCGAAATCTGTTTGCTGGGGTTTCGTACATAATTCGTAGTTTCAGGCACCATGTTTTGGTGATCATCGGGACAAGCTTTCAGAAGAAGTTGGGGACGCGTGACGCGCCCGAAGCCCAAGGAGTTGTCTGCTTTTCGTGGTTGGATTCAGGGAGACTGGGAAACCGAAGTGTGACAGGGATCCCACTAAAAACAAAATACAAAACAGATTTTCATGACAGCCCTGAAGCCCCCTGAACCCCAAAACCTGAAACTCCTCAAAAAAGCAAAACGTAGTAGTATAGGAGCCTCAATAATTGCCTATACTATACTATTGTGGGGGTTCCTTATTATGATTACAGTAGAATTGCCACCCAAAATCCTATTCTAATTATTAAGGCCCCTATAGTATTAAATCCCTAAACCCCTAAACCCTAAACCTCTAAACGCCTCCACCCTAAACCCTAAACCTCTAAACCCTAAACCCCTAAACCCTTAAACCCCTAAACCCTTAAGCCCCTAAACCCCCAAACCCCTAAACCCTAAAAACCCTAAACCCAACCCCTAAAGGCTCAACCTCTAAACCCCTAAACCCCTAAACCCTCTAAACCCCTAAACCCCTAACCCCTAAACCCTTAAATGCAGGCCAGAAACCCCGGGATGGCCTTGGCAGCTGCCGTCGATGAGAGCCCTCGTTTGGAGGCATCGGCTTTTTTGATGGTTTAGGGTTTAGGGTTTAGGGTTTAGAGTTTAGGGTTTAGGGTTTAGAGTTTAGGGTTTAGGGTTTAGAGTTCAGGGTTTAGAGTTTAGGGTTTAGGGTTTAGGGCCTGCTTAGAGAATTATTCGGTATGTTCGGGAGTTTTGGGAGAAGGTAGAGCAGGGATTTATTGGGTTTAGGCAGTAGGGCTGAGTAGGGGCTTAGGGTGGTTTAGCGGTTTTGGGTTTGCATTGGTTTGGGGTTTGCACAGGGCTTAGCATGTTGGGTTTTGCGGGGTGCAGGGTTTTAATGCTTCGGGGGTTAGGGAGTAGAAATTTAGGTGGCATTGCCTGCAGACAATAGTTTTTGGGGGGTTGTCGTGCAACGACAGGCATCTCAGTACCACAAAGCACCAAGAAAGGTGTCCAGGCCCCTGTACTCGAACCGCTCAGTTTCAGGTTTCGCTGGGAATAATCTCAACCCTAGGCCCTCTAGACCCTACACCCCAAACCGTAAACCCCTAAACCCTGCCCTGCACCCTAAACCCTAACCCCTAAACCCTAAAACCCCAAACCCTAAACCCCTAAACCCCTAAACCTTGCACCCTAACAGTTCAGAGCAAGCAAGCTGTCAGAGTTACACGGTCAAGTCCCTCTTATCCGGGTCGGAACTGCAGACCCGAGGAGCTGACAATTCCCTGGGCAGCAGTTACCGACGTAGTAGTGTGCTAACCATCTCGTATTACCATCATATTATTAAGTCATGTTATATCTTATATCATAGTATGTCATATTAGACTGGAATACATCATGTCATATCATAGTGTATCATATCAGGTCTTCCTGTACCATAGAGGTATCATATGACTTTTGATGAAACCCAGTCACCCAGTATTTACTATTGGGGTGACTAGTAACTGGAGCCCTAGGCGCCGGGTAGCTCATAAGGCGCCACGAAGTAAAATTGGCGTTCGTGCCCAGACAACTAGCGATGATTTGGGTTCAGGGCTTATTGAAGGTGGGGAGGCTACGACCCTAAGACCCTACTTGTACTAGGTAGGATACTGCCTTGTACGATTGCCTCGAGGGAGCCTTTGTGTTGAGAGGGCTGCAGGTGTTAGGATCCATCCTCTCAAGCCAAAAGCTCTGGCATTCAGTTCGCTTCAGGGCGTCGGGCTCTTTTCAGTGGCATGAGATGTGGTGATATTTCAAGCAGATCCAGCATGATGATGTTCGGCCCCAAATGCCAGACCATGGTTGCCAACACCTTGACTTGAAGGCTGAAGAAAGTTGCGATAAAATTCCCAAGCCCGTAGGCTTCAAGTCTTGTGATTTGGGGTGGTCCCAAAGTCTCATCTTCTCCAAAAGTTTATTACCGGCACACTCATCGTGGGATTGTTGGCTTAGGCTTAAGATCTCCGGCAAGCCGCGACTGAAGACCCCAGACTACTACCGACTCTTTCAGTCCAACATGCCGAGTTCTCGAGCTTGGAAAACCACTCGCCTTTAAGCGCCCCGCTGTTTAGAGTTCGTAGGGTTTTTCAAAGGCCTGGGCTTAGGGTTCAGGGACAAAGGAACTCCCATAATCGCCGATCTACCGCAAGCCTTAGACCTTCAGCCCCCTTTAAACCCCAAGCTTCAAACCCTAAACCCGCCAAACCCTGCCAACACCGTTTCAATGACCCCGGCAAAGAGCCCAAGGTTTCAGCCAAAGCACGCCTTTTTGGGATTTAGGGTTTACGGTGAAGGGTTCAGTAGCAACACCAGTAACAAATAACAGCTAAAGGCATGCAACCGCAACGACAACAACAGGAAGAACAGCAACAACAACGACACTACCAACAGCAAAAGCAACAACAGCACCATTAACAACAATAACAACAGCAACAACAACAAGAACAAGGCCACCACCACAACAACAACCACAACAACAACAACCACAACAACAACAACCACAACCACAGCAACGACAACGACAACGACAACAACGACAACAACGACAACAACGACAGCAACGACAGCAGCAACAGCACCATCAACAACAACAACAACAAGAGAAAACAAAGCCAAAAACAACAGCAACAACAACAACAAGGATTACATTAGCAACGACACCAACACCAACACCAGCACCAGCACCACCACCAGCACCAACACCACCACCACCACCACCACCAACAACAACAACAACAACAACAATAACAAGAAACACTAGTAGCGATAACAGTAACAAGAACAAGAACAACAACAACAACAACAAGGATTACATCAGCAACAACAACAACAACACCAACACCAAAAGCAACGCCAGCACCAGCACCAACAAAAACAACAAGAACAACAACAACAACTACTACTACTACTACTACCACTACTACTACTCCTCCTCCTCCTCCTCCTCCTCCTACTACTACTACTACTACTACTACTACTGTTACTATTACTGCTACTACTACTACTACTACTACTACTACTACTGCTGCTACTACCACTACCACCACGACTACAACAACTACAACTACAACGACGACGACAACAACAACCACAACATTATCAACACCAGCAGTAACAGCAACAACAATAACACGAAATTCGTACAAAATGCGAGAATGTACGCAAAAGCCGATTTTCCAGAGGAATAGCCAAGGTAACGCATGTGTTCCTGCTGGCACCAAGCTGACATTGAGGCCTTGAGCACTTGCATGCAGTGTGTGTTGGAGCAAATTTGTCGCGGTCAGGATGACAAGGACCAGATCAAAGTCAGCGGCTCAGCGGTGTTGTAGGGTGGCTACGGGTCTTCGATTGTTGTGGATTCTGTTGCAGATTCTGTAGTCAGTAGCCTGTGTGACTTCGTTCCTCGATTCCGCCGACAGGAGCAGCTGCTGGAGGAAAGAAAGGCGGGGCTCCACAACCCCTTTTACGGTCCCCAAACCTCCAACACCAAAACCTTAGACCCTATACCTCTTGCTGTTGAGGTCCTGCGATTGTGGTTCTTGGTTTCCCGTTGTTCTCCTGGAGAGATGCCATCAGCCTTTTCTGAATTTGGATATCCTGATATCCTTGCTGAAGAGGCTACAGCAGAGGACCTCTGAAAACTGATGACTAGCATCTTGATACAGCGGCGTGAGACATCTCTGGCATTACGAAGTTATGTTGGCTGTCTGACCGTCACAAACGCTGCGCCAATTATTGATGCAATAGATAATATTTTACCGCTGCAACTCTTGCTGGCGTTGTTTTATAGCAGCACACATACATACATGTATACATATGTGTATATACATATATATATATATATTAAACACATAGAGATACCAACAATGACAATAAGCTCATGATTCTGACAATAGCAGGACAGCGCTACCGGCAATAGAAATCATGACACTGGCATTGAAGAACCACAACACCAGCTCTTGTAGAAAGCAACTCTATATGTATATATATATATATATATATACGTATGTATGTATATATATATATATATATGATGCACATATATATAATATAATATACTATAATATAATATAATATAATATAACATGATATAATATAACAAAAACATACTATAATATAATATGATATACTGTAATATAATATAATATAGCATAATATAATATAGTAAAACATACTATAATATAATATAACATAATATAAAATAATAAAACATACTATAATATAATATAACATACTATAATATACTATAATATGATATAATATGATATAATATAATATACTATAATATAATATAATATGGTGTAATATAATATAATATAATATGATATGATATAATATACTATAATATAATATAATATAGTAAAATATAATATAAAACCATATAAATATAATATAAAACAATTAATATTAGATAATCTACTCTAGATAATATTACTAACATAATAATTATTATACTATACATTCACTAATATAATTAATATATACAATATAAATAATGATATAAATATAAATAATATAATATGATGAATTATTAATAATGATATAATTGATGTAATATAATTAATAATATCTATAATATACTATTATATAACCTAATATGATATAATACAATAAAATAAGATAATATGATACAATATAAAATAATATAATATGATACAATATAATATAATATAATATAATATGATAAAATATAATATAATATAATATGATGAAATATAATATAATATAACATAATATATTATAATATAATATAATATACTATAATATAATATAATATAACATAACATAATATAATATAACATAATATAATAAAATGAAACATACTATAATATAATATAATATAATATAATATAATATACTATAATATACTATAATATAATATAATACACTATAATATAATATACTACACTATAATATTATATACTACACTATAATATAATATAACATAATATAATACACTATATTATAATATACTATAATATAATATAAAAAAAAAATATATATATATATATATATATATACAGATATATATATATAATATGGAGATGGAAGTAAAGTTAGTATTCCAGCCAGGAGAATGCCCTGCTCAAACGGCGGCTGGCGGCGTACGAGGACCTCCCCTTTAGGGTCCAGAAGCCAATTAAGCCGAGGTTAGGATCTTGAGCTTTTTAGGATCTTGGGCTTTGGGTGTTGCTTCGGATGTGGTGTCGGATTTGGGGTTGTTGTGGGATTTTATGATTTCGAGCTTGGGGGGTATGCAGATTTTAGGCTGTAGGTTAGGTGCAGGGGTTTGGGATTTTCGGCTTTGGGTTTAGAGCCCAGAAGGACAATGTCAGCGCATCATTGTGCTTGGGACTCTGGGGTTGGATGTCGCTTCATGGCTCGGGCTGCCTGTGACCAATGTAGCAAGCAAGAAGCCCGGATTATCGGTTGCGTTATCCTCTGTATGGAAATGGTATGATACAGCTGAAAAGGAACTTCGGCCGCATGTAATGTGTTGGTAGCCTGGCAGCATCCGGGGTCAAGGAATAGGGCATCGTGCTGAGAATGTCGTTTTGTTATCCGCATGTTGGGTTCAGGAATGCTAGGCCCGATCTGTTTGTTCCCTACTCTAGACCCCCGGATCTGGGGCTTTGGGCTTCGGTACTCTTTGTGGGTGGTCTTGTATCTAGAAGAATGCTGTTGAGAGTCTCAAAGCCGGAACCTTGAATCCTGAATTCCGAGTCTTGCGAAACCCTCCACCTCCAATAATTACATGTAAGGGTTCTACACCCTAAACCCTAAAAGACTTGGGCCTTCGTCTTTTCGATTTTGCCCGAAACCCCAAGCCCCTCAAACCCTGCAGTCCTAACCCCCCCGCCGCCTCGGTGCTCCCTGGGGTAGAATGTTCAGGATCAGAGTTTAAGGTTTGTTGGGGCGGGTGTCTACACCCCAAACATATCGAAGCCTTTGCTGCACACGTGGGTTCCTTGGGCCTTGATTTCGCAGAACACAACATGCACCTGAGCGGAGGGTTTCAGCACCTAAACCCTGAACGCCTAAACCCTAAACTCCCTAACCCCCAACCTTGGGAAATTCTGCGCAACAGGCCAAAGCCCTCAGCTGCCTGGGCTGGTGCCGCTGAGGCTCGGCTAGTGTTGCGGCCCTCTTTGTGGTAAACACGGTGGGTAGTACACAGAGGTGTCTTATTTTTTTCTTTGTGGTCTGGAAATATATGTGTTGTAAAACGTAGTGAAATCCGAAGCCACTCCAAGTCAAGCCGGAAACGCTCCAAAATGGTGTTAAAACCAATCCGAAACTACAACTACTGCTGCTACTACTACTACTCCTCCTGCTGCTGCTACTATTATTGCTTCTGCTGCTACTACTACTACTACTACTACTACTACTACCACTACCACTACCACTACCCCGCACCACTCCCACTACCACCTACCCCTACCACTGACCACTACGCACTACCACTACCACTACCACTACCAAACTACCACTACTCCTACGACTACGACTACGCCTACTACTACGACACTACTACACTAATAACTCTCGACTACGACTAGTACTACTACTACTACTACTACTACTACTCCTACAACTCCTACTACGACACTACTACACTACCACTACTGCTACTACTACTACTACTACTACTACTACTACTACTACTACAGCACTACTACTACTACTACTACTACTACTACTACTACTACTACTACTACTACTGCTACTACTACTACTACTACTACTACTACTACATCGCCGGGCCGAAAGTTTCGAACCACTTGTGCATCATCTTACATACAAGCTCTTGCGGAGTAGCGGAGTACCTCAAAGTGCCGTTTACCCTAGCCAGGCCAGCGGAGTAATTACTACGCCGTTTTAAAAATATAATACTTCTTAGTTCCGGCGGAGGCCCCAAGGCTCGATCACCTGTGCTAGGAGTCTATGGGGAAGGGGGCGGAGGCTCATGTGTTGTAGCATGTTGAAGCTAGTGGGTTGAACTATCGGCCCGGCGCAGCCTGCGTTTTGCCGGCCAGAGTCCAGTCCGGTGGCACGTCTCGTGAGACACATGCTAGGATCTTGCCATTCCGCCCTTTTTGGCAATGACCTCCTTGCATGTCTTCTTCAAGCCGCCCGCTATGCGGGCAGCTACACTCTGGGCACGTCGCGAGGACAGAATCGCTCGGACACGCGCTTTGAAAGCGAGCATGCCGATGGGCGGACGCTTCTGTCGGAGGTCTTCCCGATCCAGATGGTGGATGCGTTTCCGCAACCATGCCCAGAACCTCTCGACCGGGTTGAGATCCGGCGAGGAGGCCGGAACAGGCCACACCGTGATGCCTTCGGCAGCCATGGTGCGCTTACTGCTGACCGTGTGCAAAAAGGACTCGTTGTCACACAAGCCAGCGGAAAGCCCTCGTGAGACTTGGACTCTCCCAGTCTCCACATCTTATGGCGGGTTCCGTCAGGCGCGGTGCGCCAATAAGTATGCTTGGAGATGGCGCGTTGCGCCTGTTGGCCCTCGAGTTTGACCATAACAGTGCATTTTGCACCGTTGACAGCAAATCCATGGCGACGGACCAACTGCAACAATTGCTCAATCAGAGCATTAGCGCGATCCAGGTCCTCCATTGAGTGGATGTCACGGTGAACCGTAAGGTCATCTGCGTATCCCGTGAGGTAGTCCACCACGGCTCGAACCCCAACAAGAGCTATGAGCTCCCGGAAGATGGTGCCCGTAAGCATGGAAAAAAGTGTGGGGGCAAGCTTACACCCCTGTTTAATGCCCGCAGTGGACTGGACCGTGTCCTCTTCACCCTGGGTGCGAAACGTGTAAGCACTGCCAGCATGCAATGAGGCAACTAGGTCAATGAGGTCTTGCGGGACTCCCGCTTCCTGCAGTGTGCTAAGCAAGTCTGTTCTGCTCACCATGTCAAAGGCTTGTGACAAGTCTAGTGCAAAGCAGATGCCACCTACTAGCTGAGGACGAGTTCGTCCCGAGTGAAGCTGATGCCTGGTTCGTCGGGCCTCCTGGCAGTTATTGCGTACCTGAGTGACATGACCAACGACCCTGCTCAAGGCATCTGAAAGACCGCTATGTGGCTGGTAGGCAAATTGTGGGAGACCCCGAAGATAGTCAGCCGTGTAGGGAGACAGCTGATCTCTACAAGCCCCCGCCAGGCCCTTGCCGTCTGGTCGAATGATGCCGAGGGGACGTAGATTGCCAGGCGTCGTGGCCGGCTTGTTAGGCTTTGGGATAAAACACAAGTCAGCATCCTTTAAGGGCGGCTGAAGTACCTCAGCAGCCGGCAATGGGCGTTGCCCCCGAGATTGCAGCGATGCTGCTAGCGCCTCTCCCGCAGCCGCCGAGCAGAGCCGCCAGGCAGCCGCCGGAGCAGAGCCTTGCGGTACCGCCTTGTGCGGTCTGATGGAGCCTATGTGCTTGGCCCGCAGACCAGCCGGGATTTCCGGCAGCGAGTCCACCTGGTGTGCGAGTGGCGGATGTCTGGCAAAGACCTGTTCCACGTGGTCTCTAAGCAGGCGGAGCGCAGAGGTAGAGTCCAACAGCAGACCATCCGGTCCCTGAAGCTGTGCCTTAGTTTGGGGTTCCCAAGGTCGGAGCTTCTTTAAGGTCTTATGTGCGATGTAGGAATCGTGTCTGGCACACGCCTCATCGACCTCAGCCTGGAAATCTCGGTGTCGTTCCTTCTTGGCTAAGTAGAGAGCCTGCTTATGCCATCGATTCAGGTCCTCCAAAGACTGATCTAGGTCGGATAAGGTGGTTATGGAGTCCTCATGCAAAGAACGAATATGAGCGACTCGACTCCACATTCGCAGCGTCGCACGGTGCTGAGCAGTTTCAGGAGCTTGCTGAGGCCGTGGTTTGGGGAAAAACAGTGCAGAGGCCTCCAGCAGTACATGATTAACTTCATCAGGCGTGTGAGTCCGAGAGGACAGACGCTGGCCCACCCAGTCTTGCATGCGACCGGCTATTGGCAGACCTGAACGGACAGCCGTCTCTAGAGCTTCCTTATGAAAGGTCGTGGAAGGACAAGTAGGCTTTGGCAGATTCCAGTGCTGGGTGGGGCTGAGTTGAGCCAAGACTGGAAGGTGGCCGCCCCTCTTCCATTTGCCGAGCTGAAGATCCTTGCACGGCCGAGACTGCTTTGCCAGGCCCTTGGCCGAGGCTTCTGAAGTGAGCAGGAAGTCAATTTGTGATCCCTGACCATTCAGGAAGAAAGTGTGACCTGCACCACTAGACCATGTGTTAGGAGCTACCAACCGATGGGAGGAGACTAAGGCTTGGAACGATTCATCCTGCATCTGAGTTTGCTCTGGCTTGGTGCTACACTGACCTACCAGACCCTCCTGCGGGGTCAGTCGAGCATTAAAGTCTCCTGCCAAGAGAAAAGTATCTCGCGCTGGAATGGCCCGTATCGCAGCCGACAGATCGCGGAGCAGGTGTGAGCGGTCATCCTTGTTCTGCTGTGGAGGCTTCTTAGAAGACCAGGCATGTTGGTAAACCGCTAGTACATGCACACGAGCCCCAAGCCACGGGAAGATGACCTGAATGAGCCTTCCCCGGCGTTGCTCGCGCCATCTTATCTTCTGCTTGTCTATCTGCGGAGAGAGAAGAACCATGACGCCGTCCGCTCGGCTTGTGTCGTGAACAGCCGGCTGCGTAGCAGCGCCTTGCTTGGGGCGTTGCCCTGAAGTGGCTTTACCTTTAGGTGCTCGAGCAGCCCCTTTTGTGGCGGAGCTTACGCAGTGCCAGCCTTCGACATCAAATTCTGCTGTCTCACTCCAGTGGGTTTCCTGAAGGACAAGAAGGTCACAGACTGACTTGGCCTCCGTGCGAAGCCATGTCTTCACTTCTGCCCATTGTTGCATGCCAAGGTGCCCTGCATTCCAGGAAAGAACACGAAGAGACTTGCTGGCACGACCGCCTCTCGGGCGCGAGCGGAAACTGGCGGAGAAACCTGAGGGACCTGAAGGAGAAATCGTGGAGCTAGGCTGCACTGGGAGGGGGGGAGGGGAGGGGGGGTGAGTCCATTGCGACGCAGATGTTCAGGCGTCAACGTACCATTCCGGTACGGGATGCTTTCTTGTGTTCTATGAACCTTATTGCAAGCCTTGCGAAAGGCCTTCTTGCGAATGCTCTCAAATGAATGCTGGTGCATTGGCGATTGCGCCGTCCGCTAGTGTCGCCGGAAAGAGAGAACTCGAACCGACTCCTTTCACCCTGCGGAAAAGGTGAAAACCACTACCGCTTACCTCATGCCAAGGTTGTACAACTGCAGACAGAGGCCCGGGAATTGGGACCCGGTAGATCACAGCGACACGCGGCTCCGGGAACAGCTATGGCTCAGTAAGAGGACGGTCCCTTAAGCTTCGCAGAAGGGGCACGTTGCGAGCCTCTAGCGTTGGTACCCAGAGCCTTGTTAGCAAAGCTACACAGCCAGTTGTGATCCATAGCGGCTACAACAACAACAACAGCAACAGCAACAACAACAACACCAACAACAACATGAACAACATGAACGACATGAACCACATGAACAACATGCCACAACAACAACAGCAACAACAACCACAACAACAACCACAACAACAACAACCACAACAACAACAACCACAACAACAACAACAGTGACTGGAGCAAGAGTGGCAAGACTCTCTCTTCCTTTGAAGACCTGAACAAGAGAAGCCCGATCTCGAGAGCGAAAGCACACTTGGAAACTCCTGCATAGATGCTTGCATGCAAAAGCTTTTTGGCCGAGTTGGAGACTGATGGCAACACCCAGTTGTGTTCGAACAGATTGGGCATCCAAGTAGACCGTAGATGGCAAAACTTATCAACGCGGCTTCCGGACACGACTTAGAGGCAGCACCAAAGACTGCCACGAAACTCAGCAGACCAAAGAGCCCTTCAACAACCATCCACAGGCGCACCGCCATTGCCCAGGCTGGTCTGCCTGTCGGATTGGAAGCTGCATAATGCAGGATTTGCTAGTCAAGCTCTAATCAGATGAAGTTCTTCTAGGTCACTATACATTTTGAGCATCTGCGGAAGCCGGCGAATCGTCACGAGGAGATGCTTCCTCGCTGCCCTGCTTGGGATCGCATGCGCACCCGAGGACATCCGTGACATGATGGGACATCTGGCGCGGCTGGCGCGGAGCTCAGCAGGATTAGCGCGCCCAGCACAACTCCAGGCTCAAGAAAGAAGCAATCATGTGTGCAAAAGCAAGATGAAGACAAGACAGTGGGAACGAGCAGAAAGACACTACGGAGGACTGGAAATCAAGAAAAGCAAGAAAAAGCGAACAAACACAGTGTCGTTGATCCGGGCAGGGGTGCTTCCACAATCAGAAGATGCTCGCAGGTAAATCTGCCATTTTCGGGTCGGTTGCAGAATCAGTTTCGAGCATTTGCAAGTGAGTCATCTTCACCCTGCTTGTCACACGTTATCACCACGGAAAAGAGTTTCCAAGCAATTTAGTAGCGATGCTGAAACAGGGAAGCGGAAGCCGCACTTGAGATCTTGAGCTCATGTCCCAGAGCATTACGCCATGACGCTATCGAACTGTTGATGCAGACTTCGAATTCACTGAAACTTCAGTTGGCCCCGGAATCTTTGATTCTGATATTATATTAGGCAAATCTTGACAAGTTGCATCCCGCTCTCGAAACCTCAACCCCAGACCTCAACCATATAACCCATGAGCCCCAAGCCCTAAAGCCCTGCACAGTTCCAAGGATCAAGCTGATCAAGCATGAATTCATTGCAGCTTGTCATGATGCAGAATCCACATGTTTAGAGCGATTGCTGCAGCGCATCTAGCTTTCTGGAAAGTCCCCGCTACGGGGGCAACTATTTTACAAAGTGTCCGTCTTCCAGTGCCGACTTGACCGTTTAAGGTGTAGCGCAGCTCATAGGGCGGTTTGGGATTTCTGATTGACGACTCAAGTCTGCAAGCTGTCGACCTGGGAGATCGTGCCAAGGCTCCTGTTTCGCACGACACTTTGTGCAATCCGTGCATGACCATGAAACCCTGCAGCGCCGTGCCCTCAACTCCCACTGCTTGGGATGGATGAGAAGGCTGTTTCGGCCAAGGAAGCTGGGGACCGGTGGGACAAGCAAGGTCCGGAGGGAAAAGGGTGTCACAAGCGTTTTGAAAGGACTTCCTGGGCGTTTCCCCATACCGACCCAGATAGCTTGAGCCGGGGCTCGCGCATTGCCACACAACAAAGATCTGAAGGTTAGACGAGACTTGACATTTTGCAGCATCGCATGTTTTCGGATTGGGGGGCATCTAGTCTTGACATCTTCGCATAGGTAGCCTAAACCATGTTGAGCCAAGTGTCATGAGCAGAAGGTGTAAACCCAATGCGCAAACATGACCAACCGTACAAGTACACAATCACACATAGTTTTCGGCCGATGTTTCCCAATTTTTCGCGTTAGGGCAAACGCCGAGTCCAAAGTAGATACCCATGTAGAATGCCTCTGCACTACTTCCGCCAATGTCGCTAAAGGCTACGTGCCGTGTACAAAGTAGTTCCTTGGAGGATTTGGAAACGTTCCCGTGTACCTATGCTAACATACTCTACTGTACTACCTTGGAAAAGGAACACACAAGATGTTCTTGTGATCGTTCGAACGCACAACTTTGAACAGAGAGTGGTGTGATGCCGATTGATTTTGCATGGGTTGATTTCAGCGTGAAGCACCAGAAAGGTTGATTCCATTGTAGCTTGGCTCAAGCTGACCCAGGTAGTTTGCATTTCCCCAGGCCAGCCAACCCGTTCATCCGTATGGCCGTATGGTTTCGGAGTCTTTCGGAGTTGTGCCGAAGTATTGGAGGCAGCCATGGTGTTTGCGTCGCAACCTTGCAAATGACACATGCTAACGCATGCTAGTACATGCTAATACATGTGAGCACTCCTTCAGGTTCAGAAGTGTTTGTTGCTTGCGACCGGGCCGGTTGCGCATGGTCCCTGCAAGCCATGGCAAGGAGATTGACTGCGAAAGCAACATGTCAGCACTGTGCAAGGCAGTGTGCAAGGCAGTGCACAGGCACTGCACACGCCCGCCGAGAGAGGTCAGAAAGTTGTTAAGCTGACCGGCTGCAGGAAGTGCTTCTGGCGCATGGACCACCACTTTTGGGCCATCGGAGATCTGGCTGCACTTGCTCTAAGGCCTCAAGTTTTGCAGCAGCAGTTGGGTGTGAAGACTTCCTGGCCGAGACGGCATCAGAGATACGTGCATAGACCGGTGTCTGTGTGTGTGCGCTTTCGATGCGATTGGGCTTCGAGGCTTCAGACTTGTGCTGCAATGCGCCAGATACAAGCAGGGACATGCTGTTGTCCTGACAGTTCCAGATGCGAGTAGAGGATTGAGCAGACGGGTCAGCAGGCAGAAGTTGGATGACGATGGCCTGCAGAAGCGAACTGACTGACGAAGAACTAAAGCAAAAGTTAACTCAGCAATCTTTTAAAAACCTTTCTTACAGCTGCCGTGGGCGGGAATGATATTTGGAACAGGAATCTGACAGAATCAAGTGTCGGGCGGAGCCTTCTGGAGTGATCCGGGAGGCAGCCTCTTGAATGTTGACCTGCACAGATCGAGGTCGCTAGTCCTAACCTCCGAAGGTCTTGGACCCTGCAGAAGAAGCAACAGGAAAGGCACGGCATGAGACCATGTTCTCGTCGTCCCTTTCACGATAATTTGCCGCCCCAGAGATCTACACACTGCGACTCGTGAGGCCGAAAGTGGGATGCGAGCACCCATGCACAGTGACAGTAATTGCTAGGTCCAGGTGCTTTGCACTCTTGTGCTCAGCATGTCGACAAATGACTGTATGGATGATGCCGAGGAAACTGTTGCACAACCACCGCTTCTTTTCAGTGCCGTGGCGACATGCAGGAGAGCGTAGGAGTGACGGTGCGGCCACAGTAGTTGTGGATTAGGGCTGGGATCGAAGGGTGCTTGCAGACGATTTGACAGTTGGCCGAAAGAGCTCGAAGCTCAAGCAACTCTCCTAGATGACCCCCCATGCGCCCGATCACACCCCATCCCCTTGCATAAGAGCCGGTGTGGACTCCGACAGTCTCCGAGTTCGCCGAAGGCCATGGTAACCAGTGGCGCTGCTGCCTCGGCGCTGGCGGCCATCGTTGTAGCCTTGGGACTGGCAGAGGCAGGTTGACGATTCTTGGTATTCTTGGTGGTTTCGAGCTTCGGGGCCCGGGGATGCACTCAGGGTTTGGAGGCTGTGATTCTTGTCGGCCCAGACTAATCATGGCACAGCGGCTCGTTCATAAGCTCCAAGATCAAATCAGTGCTGGGGGAATGGTTCGGTGATGCAGCATTTCGCCAGGGGGTTTCGAGAACTTGTCATGTCCTTCATCCGTACCCACAGGGCCTTATCAGAAGGTGACAGCCACCTCGGAGGGCTGCTGGCAGCTTCGCGGCATCCGCGGGTGTCGCATCGAAAATCCAGCTGTTAGTCCTGAAACGAATGGTGACTTGAGCCATGGCCCCTGATACCCTTCACCCTAAAGCCGAATCAGCGTAGTACGAATCATAATATTGGCATTGCGACAGGAAGCACATGCTTTGCTTCAGCGGCCAACTTTTGCGATGCTGGTTGCAGTGTCCTTCAGCGCCATTCGGATGAGGAACCCATGGCCGGTCTTAGTCCAGGAATCTATGCTTCCGGGCTTTCGGACTTGCAGCAGTTTGGACCTTTTCGATATTGTTGCAGTGGCTTTGGGATGTCTGAGCTTCCCAGTTGGGCTACAAGCTGGCAGCAGCCCGTTTTTAGGAGGCTCGTTCTCAGCAACTAGCTTTGAGCTGTAAAGCCTGGAAGATACAGCAGCCAGACACATCTCCTCTCGGTTGGAGACTTTAAGCCTCCAAAAGAGTCGTGTCTCAGCACCACGTCGCCCCTGCGTCGCTCTTCAACCCTGCTTCCTCGACTTGAGTTGGCCAAGTTTGGTCAATGCTCGCCCTCTCCGTCCTCGTACCCTTTGCGTCCGCGCCATGCAGTTGGCTGAGGGCCTAAGCGGACTTGGGATTTTGGGAATTTTGGGGGTGTGTCGGTGGAGGACTTATGCCGCATTGCCTGTGGAGCCCAGCGTCAGAGCAAGCCCAAGCCTTCCTATCAGTGCCTATCAGTTTCAGGGGCTTCCACATGCTGGCCCTGCTTTGCAACGTGACCAGCTGCTGGCCCCAATTGACACTGTCCAGAGTTCGGCTCAGGTTTATTTTGGTGTTAAGAGCGGTTTCCGTTACCGGAGGCACAGCTCGAGTTTATTATATAGCGTACGAGTGAGTTGCTGGATGCACGACGGAGCTGCGAGAACGTCTAAAGTCTGGAGAATGACGAGGGAAACGCTGCAGACACCCGCGTGTTCGACAACTCTAGGGGATTCTTCGCTGCTTGTGCACAATGATGTTGGACAGCTGCAGAGCTTTGCAAAGTTGTGGTAGTTTCTGATGTTGTCAGTCGACTTCCGTCAATGAGGTAAATCGACTTGCGGCCGCCGTCCACAGTGGAATTCCCGTCGCCTGATCGATGCGACCTGCCCGAGTCATAGCTTCTTAAAACTTGGGGTTTCCATCCGTAAGCAGGCCTTGGAGATCTCAACGGGCTTCAGATGAGTGACGATCCCCCGGTCCTGAAAAGGGCCAGTGCATCATTCGCATGGTATAAACACAGCATACTGCCAGGGGTTCTTGTATTTAGGACTGCGAAGCATTGGGCATCCATCGAATGTCTTGTTTCCCAATTCCTGCGCCATCGACCCCAATCACAAGACCTTCCAAGGCCCGTCGGGCTTCACGGGTTGAAGCGCCTGGATGGCCGCTTTCAGCCGGCCACGCCGAACCACGCTGCACCACTCCGCTGCAGTAAACTTGCGGCTCTTGTGAAAGCCACTGTGCGGAACCCCCCCCTCTGAGAGCCCGCCCCAGAGCGGCACTGCCCGATTCTGCGGGAACTGGGACGGGTATGGTTTCTGTCCAGCAAGGCGTTCCATTCCAGCTTCGCCACGCTGTCGCCACATAAAGCCATCTCCATGAGCACAGTAGTTCCGGCGGTCAATGGGATCGCGTGGAGGGAGTGACAGCAGGACCCCGTCCATCGAGAAGGAGAGCTTCTCGCGAAGACGACGCCGACCAAGCTGCACCACCCCCTGTGCAAATCGGAGCCGCTCCTGCCGGCGCTCTGCACTGTACTTCCGCTTCTGAGCTTTTGGAAGCCAGTAACACCCTTGCCGTCGCAAGGCCTTTCGGATGGCAGACTCGTCCAGCTGTACACCCTTCTTGGCAAGCAGCTCACGCTGCAAGGTGCTGGAGGTGCACACACATTGGAGCCGCAGGGCAAGCAGTCGCTGCACAAGAAACTTCTGCACAGCTTTGGTGGCTTTCACGGGTCGGCGACCACAGTTCTTGTAGTTGTACTGCCTTTGACCCTTTGCCTCGTCGAAGTCCTTGTAGACACGCTTCAGGAGCGAGATGCTGGGATGCTCCCCGCGCAGGTTGCGCACCTGGGAACGTATGGCCTCCCACGTGCTGCCTTGAACATCCCGCAGCAACACGACCTGCGCTCATTCGCAAAGTCAAGCGACTGCGGGTGCCGCACCTCCTGCACTAGGGGCATGGTGCCGAGACAGCTGCGTGGAGTCACTCCTGTGTCCTCTTGCCTTATAGAGACATGTGAAGCACACAGTATTCAGAGTGGGTAGCCACGTACTACTGTCGTAGAATCGCCACGTCACATGTGAAGGCAACAGCACCCGCAAGCCCGCCTCACACAGCCATGGAGACGGTAGCACCCACTTCGGCCTCACACAGCCAGAGTGAAAGTTTAAAACCTTTTACCAACGTCAACTTCTCATCCTCGTCAACACACGGGCGGCCCACACTATTCTCCCGCTGTGCTTGAGCCGTCGTTTATAAACCAACGGAGACACGCAGTGAAACATGCTAAATTGGGCATACCAACTAAAGTGAAATGTTGGTTGCAGAGGGACGGTAGCACCCATGTACTGCAGGGCCTCGCACAGCCATGGAGACGGTTCGTGTTCTCTGGGAGGCCTGTAGGCTCGGGCTTGGGGGGACCGCGACTTGCAAGAAGCGTTTTCTGATGCAAATGGCATTGCTGTCGGCTACATTGGCTGTGAGACACGCTTACACCTCTGTCAAGATGTCTGGGAACTGGAGCAGCACGCGGTTGCGGTCCGAGCTGAGCCAGTCGTGCGTCTCTAGGAAGTCGCGGTTCCGCGTACTGTTGTTGATGGGCACGGCAAAAAGGTACTTGCTGTAAGCGCAAGTACCACCGGGAGTGGTGGCAAACTCGACCCGAGCGTCGTATTCGCCTTGCAGTTTGTCCTGGTGCTCCGCGATGAACTTCAAGTCCCGCACATCATCTAGGATGATGCCGTCGTGCCTCTTCCGGTCAAAGGCACGCATTCCCTCCGGGAACACGTCCAGACAACCCACTTTAAGCTCCAGCGGCTCCTTGAACAAGGACTTCACCCACTCCGTTTTCCCTGTCTGGGATGGCCCTTGCACGATGAGCACCGGGTACGCGAGCCATGCCTGAGCAGCGGGCACCTGTGGGAAAGGCTGGTACACTGGGGGGTTCGACCTTAGCCTTCTCGTCGTGGCCTCGATGAGGGCGGCATCAGCAAGGGCGGCCTCATGGTCCCTCACAGCATCCGTTTCGCTTCCGCGCCAGAACCCCGTCACGTGTGAGGAAAAGGTACTCCTCGTACTTCTCGGAGCTAAGTTTGCGCTGCTTCCACAGAGTTTCTGGCCATTTGCCAAGCACCTGGTAGGTGCGAGGAGCGTCCGTCCAGCAGGGAGCGTAGTTGCCTGCAACACAAGCAGCACCGGAAGCATCCGCTGTCTTGCAGAGGTTTTGTGCGTTTGTGGCAGCTTCGGCAACAGGGTGGAGTGTGAAGCGCTGGGCAACCACGATGGAGCAGAACTCGTGCGGCGACTGCCATGTGCACCTCATGGTTCAATTCGCTGGCGCAATGAACTGTGGTTCCTCTCGCTTCATGTTCGAGGGTGTGCGGCCCAACGTCAGCCCGAACGACTACCTTTGTGAGGGAGTCTGTCGCAAGAAGATGCAGCAGTCGATAGACCGAGGCATGTTCTATGTGTGGGCAGACAAGGTTGGCACACTACACCTGGCCACCTGGCCTCCGCAGCAGGCCAGCTCTGGTAGGTCAGCAGAACGGCTTCGGAGCGAATCCGAAAGCCTTCGCGGCCGTTTGCGACGGCAGTGCTTGGAGCTGCCTGTTGTGCCTGGGGACGGGTTGGTCGACCTGCAGGCTTGGAATCTCGATTCGCTGCATGCCACACATCCCTTGCCGCATTCAGCCTCTGCGCGTCGGCTGGTGCACCGCCCTTGTCGGGGTGCACCTTGACGGATGCACGGCGAAAGGCCCTCGTAACATCCGCATCTGGCGACTCACGCGTGAGGGAAAGTTGCACCCCATACGCGCCAGCCAGAGCCAGAACCAGTGTCACCAGCGCACGCTTGGCACGTTGCTTTAAGGTCAAGGGCATCTCAGGCCATGGCCGCAGTCCTTGAGTCAGACGTCCCCCTCTAAAAAACGGTTACGGAAGGCATCGCCGGACCGAAAGTTTCGACCCACTTGTGCATCATCTTACATACAAGCTTTTGCGGAGTAGCGGAGTACCTCAAGGTGCCTTTTACCCCAGCCAGGCCAGCGGAGTAATTACTACGCCGTTTTAAAAATATTATAATACTTTTTAGTTCCGGCGGAGGCCCCAAGGCTCGATCACCTGTGCTAGGAGTCTATGGGGAAGGGGGCGGAGGCTCATGTGTTGTAGCATGTTGAAGCTAGTGGGTCGAACTATCGGCCCGGCGCAGTACTACTACTACTACTACTACTACTACTACTACTACTACTACTACTACTACTACTACTACTACTACTACTACTACTACGACTACGACTACGACTACGACTACCACTACGACTACGACTACGACCACGACTACGACTACGACTACGACTACGACTACGACTACGACTACGACGACTACGACTACGACTACTACTACTACTACTACTACTATCTACTACCACTACTATATACTACTACTACTACTACTACTACTACTACTACTACTACTACTACTACTACTACTCCTACTCCTACTCCTACTCCTACTCTTACTCCTACTCCTACTCCCACTCCTACTCCTACTGCTACTCCTACTCCTACTCCTACTCCTACTCCTACTACTACTACTACTACGACTACGACTACGACTACGACTACTACTACTACTACTACTGCAACGAGTCACAGAAACATTCGGGGCGTTGATGGGCGTCGTTTCCGACTGTAGATCACATCTTAACATGCAGCTTGTCCATGATCAGAAAGTCAAACCTTTTGGGGGTTCAGAATGAAATCGAACTTGCGATTTTTGCTTGCATAGTGCAGGTTAGTCTCACGAACTGTTTGCCTGGGCCTATATTTTGTTTTTAGATCGCGCAGCTTCCGAATGACTGGGTTGAAGGTAGACCCTGCAGCCTGTCAAGGATTAGGGCCTTTGAATTGTAATGAGTGAGTCATAGGGGCAACTAGGGGGAGGGAGGTAGGGGCCCCTATACTTCCTTAAATAGGTCTTATTAAGTCCTTATTATAGGTACTGAGGCCTGCCTACACCCCCGACGGTCCCTATGAGTGAGGTTCCAGGTACTCTTGTCTAGTCCTGGGTGCCCGCAAACGAAAGCAGGGCATTGCAGGAGTTCTTGAGGTCGTTTCACGACCATCCCTCCATAAAGCTAAGTGTACCCCAAAGCTTTGTTGCTTGCTTGGGTATGGGACTAGACTTGGCCCTAGACTGTAAGATCCTGCTCAACTAGGGCAAATTTCTGTTATCCGCATATGTTCGAAATCCTTACCGGGTCTCGATGCTTGAGGTTTTCGAAAGTTCCAGCAGGGGACAAGTGAACCTATCTCAAACTCAGAGCGGGTTTGAAAGGGCACCCTCCCGCTACAGTATGTGGTCTAGGCTATGGCCCTTTTCAAAGTATCCATCTCTTGGGTCAAAATTGACCACTTCAAGAACCCTTCAAATGGCTTACCGGTTCAAGGCACCACCACATTCTTGACATGTACGTTCGTGATCGGCACGGATACATTTGGTCTACTGCCCTCAAGCAGGGCAGCTTTTGGGTATTCGTTGAAGTGCGATTGTGTTGACAGGCAAAAACAGGCTTATCTCGGGGTAGCTCAGGACTTCCAGTGCTGCCTGTAGTGAAGCCTAAGGACACGGAGTCATGAACACGTGTGGAAGGGTAGTCGTGAAACGAGAAAGCCACATCTTCACGACCTTGAACTCCGAACCTAAGCCCTCCACTCTCTTCCCAGCTTTTCTGTCGCCCAATACACCCTAAACCCTAATCCATCATGTGCGACTCTCTTCGGAGCTTTTCTATCGTCCAGAAGCAGGCCCAACATAGGCTCACCATACAGCAGGAGGCAATTGACACGTTGAGCTCTCAAGCCGTGAAGGCACAATGTATTGAAGCCGAAAAACCGTAAGACTAAACTCGACACGATTCCAAGTTTTTCCAGCCCAAGAACCCGATGCACCTTGATTGGATCTCAGGAAGGAAATCGAGTTTTGGGAATGGTACGACCTGGGCTAGATGCTTTCGCAACGTGCCCCTGGGCTAGTTCTTTGCAAGTGCTTGTCGTGTTGGTTTTGTCCGTGTCCCTGTCTGTGTGTGTGTGTAAGTGTGTGTGTGTGTGTGTGTAAGTGTGTGTTTGTGTGTGTGTCTGTGTGTCTGTGTGTGTGTGTGTGTCTTTGTGTGTCTGTGTTTGGTGTGTGTGTGTGTGTGGTGTGTGTGTGTGTGTGTGTGTCTGTGTGTGTGTGTGTTGTGTGTCTGTGTGTGTGTGTGTGTGTGTCTGTGTGTGTGTGTGTGTGTGTGTGTGTGTGTCTGTGTGTGTGTGTGTGTGTGTGTGTGTGTGTGTGTGTGTGTGTGTGTGTGTGTGTGTGTGTGTGTGTGTGTGCGTGTGTGTGTGTGTGTGTGCTGTGTCTGTGTGTGTGTGTGTGTTGTTGTGTGTGTGTCTGTGTGTGTGTGCGTGTGTGTGTGTGTGTGTGTGTGTGTGTGTGTGGGTGTGTGTGTTCTGTGTGTGTGTGTGTGTGTGTGTGTGTGTGTGTGTCTGTCTGTCTGTGTGTGTGTCTGTGTGGTGTGTGTCTGTGTGTGTGTGTGTCCTGTGTGGTCTGTTGTGTGTGTGGTGTGTCTGTGTGTGGTGTGTGTGTGTGTCTGTGTGTCTGTGTGTGTGTGTGTGTGTGTGCGTCTGTGTGTGTGTGTGTGTCTGTGTGTGTGTGTGTGTGTGTGTGTGTGTGTGTGTGTGTGTGTGTGTGTGTGTGTGTGTGTGTGTCTGTGTGTGTGTGTGTGTGTGTGTGTGTCTGTGTGTGTGTGTGTGTCTGTGTGTGTATGTGCACTCTCACGCTCTTGCCTGCGATGGTCTCTGTAGCTCTCTTTTGATCGGTGTTCGGCCTCTGCCCTTATTTTTTAATGCAAGGTCAGATCGCGATCGACTCAATCGACTCGAGCAGAGACACCCGTGGGTGCACAGTGACACATGTAGCGACATACGTATGTGCCTCTGTGTGTATGTCGTGTGCATGCATGTCATGTGTGTCATGTCATGTCATGGCATGTTTTGCCATATATTTATGTATGCATGTGTGTATGTATACATTGAAGCATGTTCGCATATATGTCTCCATGGCTGTATGCATGTATGTATGTATGTATGCATGCATGCATGTATGTACGCATGTATGTATGTAGCTATGTCGTTATGTTTGTTTGTATGAGTTAAGGTAATGTAATGCACTGTAATGTAATGCAGTGTACTGTATGGTAGTGTAGGTACGTATACATGCGTGTATGTAGGGTGTGTTTGTATGTAGGGATGCACGTTTACATGGCAGCCTGTCTGCCTCCCTGCCTTCCCGCCTGTGCCAGTCTAACGTCATGTAATGTAATGCATATGTATGTGTGTATGTGTGAATGCATGCTTGGAAGTCTGTCCGTCTGTTTGTCCGCATGTTTTTAGGCATGTGTTTTTTTGTATGTACTTATGAGTGTCTGTGTGCATGTGTAGCTATTTAAGACCTGCTTGACAGCATGCTTCTTAGTGTCACATTTGTCTGACGAATGTCTGTTCATGAACGTGTTACTTGTATGGCGGTTAAATAATGCATCTGGCATCTCCTTTCGAACTGTGCAGAGCATGTAGTTATGACTTCAGTGCTTAGCCATCTGGATTGAGGGCTTTGATGTTCCCGCCTGTACTGAAGGGGTGTCCGATGGTCACAAGATCAGTCTATGAGGTATATACTATGACGTCTCAGTGCGGTTGGCTTCTATGGGCTCGTTGAAAGAGTCCTTTGCGGTATCCTTTGATGAGTTCTCGAAGAGTTTTGAGCATACTGCCGGAGGACATCGCGCACACAAGCCGTAGAGCCACGGTGCAAACTTTCTGTGGTTCATGGATCAGCCTCAACCGTTGTGTCGTTGCTACAGCGTCTTGGCATGGTGACTTAGTGTCTGTAACGGCTATTCTCCAGTGGGAATGGCCGCAGACATTCCTGCTTCATATCTAGAGCTGAAACTAAATCCTGAACCAAACCCTTCGCCCTGAGCCTTTCACCCGCAACACCGGCGAAAAAGCTACAACGCACCTTTGATTCACATCCCGAGACCGCAAAATTGAAGCTCAATGATCTAGGGGCTTTTTATAATGGTTGGAAGTTTGGGGTTTGTTCTGCTCTAGTCATATGACGGAACCCTAAGGAAGAGTATTTAAGCCCCTGAAGACGGCACGCCGGC